GACGAGGTGAGGTTTCTTTATTATGTTGTTGGGACCTTTGCCCATCAATTTGAATGAGATCTTCAACCTGATCCATTGACCCGGTACTAGTTCTAGGTGCTATTGTAGGCAACAAACAATTTGGTTCATCTAGGAGGGAAGCACTTGCAGTTATTACTGGTTGGTCTAAAATTGCATCTTCGTTCTGGGCGTTACTATCAGAAGGAACTGTTGCAGCATATATGCGATCTAAGGAAAGTTGAAGACGATTGGCTGTGGCCAGTAAATTATTTTTTTCAGCCAAAATCATTGAATTCTCGGTATTTATTCGTGATAACCTATCCTGAACATGTATAAGTCTAGACTCTAAACTCATTTTCTCTATTATCAACATCAAATTCATCAATACTGCCAAGCAATCCATCCAACTTACTACTACATATTGCCATCTCGTTCATTGGGTCAAAATTCACTGTAGGCTCACCAGGACTACTCCCACTCTCAGCACGCAACGCTTGTCTCAACAATGATCTTTTGTCCTGCACCGTTCCATTACCCAACTCTGATCCACGAACCAATAATTCATAAGTGAGTTCGTCACTCAACAACCTATTGATATCCATTTCCACAATGCAGAGAGATAATATAAGAGAAGAAAAAAAGAAGTTTCCTCAAGAGAAAAAAAAGAAAAAAAAAATACTCCCTATTAACTGTACTGATTCTGTACTGAATTCTACAAAACCCCCTTCCTTCCCGGAAGAAAAAAAAGAAAGAAAAAAAAAATCAGGAAAAACCAATTGAATCCACCAACTGATTTTTTAATCACAAGGTCCAACAACACAAAAAAAATCTGATAAACCAGCTAACAGCCACGAAACAACACCCAGCTGGATCACCCTGTATAGTTCTCCGGAAACCTGTGTCAATAATACAGTCAAAAAAAAAAAATATACACAAGTATTGGTATTAAAAGAAACTTCAGGTAGGTAAACCTGTCATGTGTTACCAGCAGAGTGAGGAAAAAAAAGTATTATCAGTAATGCCTGCACTGAAAAGAAAAAATAATTGAAATACAGATGTCAGAGTAGATAATAGCAGTTCTTAACTTATTAAGAAAGGGAAGAAAACAAATATATATATCAAGTCAAATAAACTGATTTGGCACTTGATAATATAACACCCTTTAGGTGTAGTGTGAATAAAAATAACTTGATATTTATTTTTAAATTCACTAGGGCTGACCCTATGTAATCAACAGCAAGTAATTCAATATATCAATAATGATTCTTATTACAAGAAAGCATGAAATTGTCCCATATTGAAGAAATATGTTAGAGGAATAAAAATTAGAATGCTGCTATTATCACTTGTTCTACCCTGTATTACCAGCAATGAGAAAAAATAATAGTGTGCATTTGCTAAGAATGCCGGAAACTCATTCTAAAGCCACCAAGTTTACCATAAAAAAAATACCAGCTTTTTATAAGTGTCCACCCTGTAAGTACCTATATGAAAATTTCAAGTTTTTCTTTTTTTTTTTTTTTTTAAATAACTAGAAAAATATTTCCATTTTTGTTTTCACTATATAATATTTCAAGAATATCCTGTGATATTAAATAAAAATAAATGGAAAAAAAAAAATATGTACTGAATTTAAACTACCACCAATGAAAATTCAAAAATTACTCAACAATATCCACCCTAGTGCCAACTGAAATTTTTGGGCGCCATTTGTAACGGGTTGCATTGTTTATAGCTGCTTTGTTACCAGAGTTGTTAACAAATTGGTTTAGGCTGTTCACCCTCAATTAAAGGATGTGCAAATTGAGATAGATTTTTCGTTACAAAAATAAGTGTTTAAAGTGCCTGATTATAAACAGTAGAGATCAAACACTGACTAGCTCAGTGGGACACTGGGGTGAGTAAGGTTGGTAGGGTGGAATTATAGCCATAAATTTGACTGTATCCTTTACTGAATATGGTTGAATATGGTAGTTATGACATAAGCTGCTAACTATGTAGACATCACTAGAAAAACATTTCCATCAAGTAAATAGCAACAAAATATTATGTAGGTACCTCAACATATATACCTTATGAAATATAATGACCCCCCTTATTCATGAATTTAGACACAATTATGTTGAAGTCTGGTTTCTCCCAGAACAATAATAATTTACCAATGTGATCACTATGGTTTTCAGTGAGTGGAAATTCAGCAATATGATACCCCTTATTAATTATTGAGGTCAACATTATACATGGTCATACAGTACATAGATCCGCAGGCGAAATGTTCAACTTGAAAATCCTTGGTGGTAGGTAATTCTTGAATGGAGATAAAAATGGAGCAGTCTTACCAGATTGCAGGTATTTTCTGGCAGCTACACCATAAGTACATACATATAGCTGGTGATACTATAATGAGTGACTTCCCAGGCTGGGGCTGCTTCCAGACAATGCAGTGCTACTGGTGTCAGGTTGTTTAGACAGGAACTACTGGGTCAGTGTAATGCTTGGCATAATGCAGCACCAGACAGCAGTCTGATAACAGGGACAAATGAAGACATCTTGCAGGAACATCGACAAGAGAAGAAGCAAAAGGACCAAAGTGAAGTAGATAAAAAAAAGGAAAAGAAGAAGCCCTAAAACAAAAGAAATATCACTTACAGGATTATATTCCAAGCCTAGTGAACCTGCATAGCACATGGTAGTACAACATACCTTGGATGGTGGGCGGGCTATTGGGTAGGCCGGTTGAATGATGCTATTAATCCCCTTATAGGGTATTTCTTTCCAAAACAGAGGAAACGAAATGTTGCGAGTTGAAGACCTCCAAATAATCCCACTAGCTGTGGATTCCGTTCACAAACACGGTACAAATTATGGAGCTCTTCCTCGGCACCAATGCAACCAGACACACCTTTACAAAATGGTGCCCTTTTCAGGCTGGAGACTTGTAGGTCCTCCTCACACATTTTTTTGTACCCCATAAGCACGTCATTTCCCATCGTGACGGTGTACACAAAAAAATACGAAATCCAAATAACATATTGGGTATAACTCCCCATTTCCAAGCAAAATTACATCACTTTGTTACGATGTAAGGCATCTTGAGACGCCGTTATGACACTGAGAAAACCCGGTAAAATATCGGAAACATCGTTACAAACCGATATTCGTTACGAACGGCTACGAACTTAAAACCACCCAGGCCTGCGCAGTAGCGTTCATACACATTGACATAGAACACAGAATACTAGTCCAGAAAACAAAGAGTCGAAAGCGAAAGAAGAGGTCTCTTCGAGTCCAGGAAACAAGGAGTCGAAGGAGAAAGAAGATACCTAAGATAATAGCGACGAATACCGAAGCACCACCGCGGTATCAACCAAGGGTCGACTCACTTGACGAATAGTCTCAGAACTTTACTATCAGGCTTTAGGAATCGATTCACAACTTACTGCTGGCCAACCGTATAACTGACAACCAACTCGATGTTGGACACGCCAGTAAACTCACTATGACGTCATGACCAAAACCACCGACCTTGATAAAATACTGTAAGCCAACGATAAGTACTCCGCCGTGTAACACCGAATTGACCCGAAGTTGAGGAGACTAAATGGTAATAAGTCGACGGTCGATTCACACCACTGTGTGTTCCGTGTTTCGTGCCATTAGACCAAAGGTGTCAGGTGTCAGGTGACAGGTGACGATGTCGACAGTCGACACTCAGCTGATACAGATTTGACAATACACAAAGATTATATAAGCAGTGAAATTAACCCTCCACTAGATAATATCACTCAATTAGGCAATCCAAACCACGTGACCCAATATGGCGGCTGTTGGCACACAAACCAGGTAGTGCCATAAGGTTAGCATTGTATGTGTGGACATTGGATAGTTTTTTACTGTTTTTTTCTGTTTCCGAAGCCTTTTGGGCTGTGTAAAAACTTTATTGAGATGGAGAAAGATTATCTGAAGACATTGTTGTTAAGAGACAGAGACGTTGATCAACGGTATGTTCGAAAATACATCCCTATCATTTGTTTACATTTTTAAGCACTGTGTTTCTTTCAGGTATAAAATGAAATTGAGAATTATCAATGACTTGGATCCTTCCACAATGAAAAATTGTGATTTCAATTGTTCACCTGATGCTGTTCCACCCATTACAAATATTAATATTCACCTCTCATGACAGCTATTATTCCAAAGTGCAAATGAAGGCCCCAGTGAAGGCCTAAAGAGTATATATATATTAGTAATCTGGCTTTGTTGTGGATGTGGGAATTAGAATTCAGGTTTTCAACTTTTCAGATGTACAGGTAAGGTTTTCTGATACTGTAGTATTATTTATATGCATTTTAGCTACCTACTTTGTATTTATTTGTTGTTCATTCATTCATGTTTTCATTTGAATGTAATAGGTTATTATAAATTTTTCTACTAAAATGTATGAAACTTGTTTTTAGATGAAACATTCAAAGAAAGCAAATGAGAAACCCTTTGAATTTGAAAGACTTCTGAACGCGAGCATATTATTAGAGAAGTACCACATATATCAGAAAGTGAATTGGTTGACATGCTGGAGAAACTGAATGGGGTCACAGAGCTCCAAATCATGGGAATAGTGAAGCAGCATTTGTCACCAAGTTATCTGAAGAATGAACAATTGTTATGGCTTTGATTTTGGATGTAAAAGTAATTCTGAGTTAATGAATCAAAAACAATCATTTTGAATGTAAAGTACTATCATTTCTTTTTACTGTAGATGGAGTTTAGCTTCATTTTGTATGTCAGAAAATATTAAATTCACATATCCATGGTCTATTTTTGAAAATGTGATTAAGAATTTAAATTCTGAATAAATTTGTAGGAATAGAAAAATGTTTTCAATATTATTTCAACACCCTCTACTTACAAACCAATGACTTCAAAGATTGAGATGATCTAGTATATTCAGAGACAAGACAAATATATCTAAAATATTTTTTTTTTTCATAAAAAAATTATTTCCAGAATATTTGACATTTCTAATAAAAAAAACTAACATTTTTCACCTTGCCAATTTAATTTTTTGTGCAATAGGAACATAAAATACCAATACAGTGTTCATAAATTCAAGTACAATAATTTTCCAGTAGACTTTACATTTCAATGAAATATGTTGATGCTTTTTGATGAAGAATCAGAAAAAAATACAGGAAACAGCAATGATGGTCTGTGATGAAATGACTGATTCTTGTCCATGGTTGATTCCAGTTGTATTTCTTGTCTGTGAACAAAATAATTATTCCTTATTTTTCAACATTATAGGCTTCAATTAAACAGGAAATATATCTTTCAACATATATTTGCACATTAATATAAGTTTTTTGTACAAAAAGCATCACACCTTACCTCAGCTAGTTTTAAACTTCTTTTGTCCAACCCATGTGAATCCTCATTGCTTTTGAGAAATATCTGAGATGAATGTCCCATTTTCTGCTAGAGAATCCTGAGTCAGGATCAGTTTCGTCTTCTTCTGAAGCAGGTTCACCTGAAAATAATATAAGTGATGTTCACAAAAATCATAATAGCTATAGAAGTTTAGCAGACACCAACTTGGAATCACAGGTTGACAGTGGACATATAATTAACATATAATCTTTTTGTGAGAAATAATTGATGTTCTTGTGACTATCAACTTATGATTCCTGCATAAATCTACTTTTGAAGGACTCACCTTTCATGAAATGTCTGCTATGACTGTCTGATGGGTACTGCCTCTTTGAATCAGTAAGATCATCTCATTCAATTGCAGATAACCATTTTTTTTTCTCTTCCTGAATAAGCCACTTTTACTGGTCAAATACTTGTGATTTAGGATCTAGGGACCCAGTAAAATCCCATTTTTTTCCTGTCATGGCAAGACCCACATACATCCTACTACAATGTATGTATGAGGCATTTTACCTCATCATAAACTGTAAACTGTGGCACAAGGTCCAGAACAGACGAGAAACAAGTCTAACAAGTACAGGAAATCACAAAATAAAACAGTTCACCACTATAATATCACTTTGATCAACAGATAAACTATCATGAGCTAATAACCTGTATCACTGATATAACGAGTCAAATCTTGAAAAATAATGAAAGTATAAGGCATATATTTCAATTTGAAGCAAAAATGATTGTCTATAATCAGAAAAACAAGTCCAACACACATTGGAAATCACAAGAAAAACAGTTTTATCACTACAGTCACATATGGCAATATCCAATGTGTGCCAACAGCCGCCATATTGCTTTCGATTTGACAGGTCGCTGGATTGCCTAATATCTTATTTCCAAGGGACCTATTAGGAACAGGGCTGAATTACAACTTACAAGTAGTAAGTATTCCAGACTCAAAGCAATTTAGGTGTAACGAACATTACGTAAATGACACGACATGCAGTTCCATAGTACTAAAATGATAATAAAATATCATCATTTCGGATTATCTTCAGACAGGAGAGAAGACAAGAAGCATAATCATACCCAAATAACTACCTGGTTTCCAGATATAAATCCATTGAAAAATGAGAGCGAACAAAACCCTGAGGTGAGTACCTTTCTACCACAATCATGGTTTGTCATGCCCATATCAGACTGAGAGTGCTATTTTCGTTTTAGCTACTAATAGCAGGATCGAAGGTAAACAAAGTGTGGAATGCAGAGCCGAGAGGAATGACAGTGTGAGACAAAATACCCAGTACCAATTGAAGACAACACTCGCAGCAAAAGACCGAGAGCAATGCTGGGAATCCACAGAATGAACTCTTTCAAAATGTAGTAACAAATTGTTATTATTGACCTGATCCGAATAAATGACTGTTGATGTGTTTCAAGTAAGTGATACAGCCGTTTTCAACTAAGTTAAATTTGAATTGTAACAATGCATTCCTAAGAAAAAAATATAGAATCGTGAATTCGTCGAAAGGTAGAGGACATTTTGAACACTTTCTCTAACTGATTCAATATTTCATGTTTCCAGTCAAATATCTCTTAATTTTCTACTTATGATTCTTCGTTCCATCAATAGCTTCAGCACAAGATTGATTCTGTTGTTTCTGAATTTGAATAAATAGGTAATTGAACTCAATAAAATTCATTTCATACCAGCATCATCACTACTCCATTATATTCAGATCGAAATATTCCGAGAAAGGGACATAGTATCAAGTTTCACCAGGAGTACTTTTTTGGTGTAAAATTGAAGGATATTCAAGTTCATATCATATTTGGATTGAAAAATCTAACCTCAAAAAAGTTATGTTCTAAACTACTCGGTACGAACCGTGTAACTAGCGCCCTCTATGAGAGTCAGGTATAAAAACAAATGCATGCAATGTGTCACATTTCAAGAAACATCCATACAAAATTTCATCACAATGTTGCCAGTAGTTTCGACATTATCTTGAAAAATGTGTAGATAAATCATTTTTTCAACACCTTGTATCTTGATAACGGATGCCGTTACGACATTTTCTCACTGAGCAAACCCAACTTATTTTGCAGTGTTCTACCTACCCTAGCAAGGGGGTCAGGTTTTTTTGAAACACCCTGTATAATGGTCTTGTACTGCATTGTGTGGAGTTCACAAAACAGAAAACAACTCCTTTCCTGGCTGTATGCCACGACGAACATTGAATTATATATATATTGAACACATGATAAGAATTTGAAACAAGAAATTTCTGAAGTTGGGAGTTCGTTTTCTCCTCTAGATAAAAATATGTATGCACATATATCATTCTGAATATTCAACAGGAAACAACTCCTTCCGTGGCTATTTGCCACATCAAACATTGAATTAAATCTGTTGATCATTCAAAAGAAGAGCATGGAAAATTATATGATGTATTATGATATAAAAATAAACTCACCAATAGGTTCAGTATTGATATATATTTTTTGTTGTTGTTCTGATTCCCACGAAAAGGGATATGCTGTAATGTTCAGAGAACATCGTGAGAACAAAGGAAATTTCAATAACCCTCCTCAGTAACCTGAAGCCCAGTTATTCTTTCAGCCATTCTTCGTGATGTAATAATTTTCATCTCTCTATAATATGACCAAAACTATAACGAGCTGAATCTGTGAATTATTTGTTGACATCCAATCCATGTCATCTGGCTGTTTTCGTTCTTGGATGTATGACAAAGTTTTATTCATCATCATATGTTATTTCATTCAATATTCAACTTTTTTCAAGTTTGACTATCTATACAAAATCGTGTGCTTCAGTTTCAAACTATAGGTACTATTGGGGTGGCCTGTTCAATAATTCTATGAACTTTCTACAAACAACACAAAACACAATTCTGAAAATAATTTTGAAAAATTCTAGACTATTTGCAACCAAAGATCTATACAGAGAAACTGGAATTTTGAAAACTAGAGAACTTTACATTTACCACTGCCTGATTTGGATTTTCACAAACAAACACAAATTCGAACCTAGTAACGTGTCATGAAGGAAACAAGATCTGTCATGAAAGCTTCAATCAAAATACCCATTTCCAAAAAGAGTCACACTCAAAGAGTAATTTTTTATTACGGTCCCAAGTTATTCAACCTATTGCCTACAAGTATCAAGATAATTACTAAACTACCGCATTTCAAAAAAGAGATAAAACAATTCATTTCAGATAAACCAGAGATTTCAGACATTTTCAATTGATCTTATATAGTCGCTCTCCTTTTCTCATTTCTTCTCACATATTATTTCCCATTTCTCTTCCTGTTCTATGGTATTACTATTGTATTTATATTATATTAGGAAAATATATTAGTATAAGTTCATAATTTTCTCCACGATGGTTGGAACAGAGCACAACACAAGCATCCTGAATGCTTAGGTATCTTTTCCTTCCTGACTGGTTTTCCAAAGAATAATTTATCCACAAATTGTTACTTGTAACTGTTGCTATTGCTGAATAAATTGAATCGAATTGAATTGAATTCATTTCCAAGACAGCTGCTCAAGAACAGTTCTTCCGTAAATGAGTTGATTAATGTATTTACATGTACTGTTTTGAGATGTATCATCCAATTGGTACCGGATGGAATGATCACAAACAAATAATCAAATCACGAAATTTTTGCGCAAAATACCATATCAACGATTTGTTGGAAGCAACTTCATGTCCAGTACACACCTTCGCGAATGGTAGTACCCTCCATACCGCCTTCTCTTCCAGGACTCCAATACCAGCCAGGCAAATTAAAAACGAACGCGGGAGAAATGTTGACAACATAGGTATGGACTTGGCAACAATTCTCGAATGGGGATCCAATAACTTGGTAGATTTCAATGCTAACAAATTACAAGCATGCCTTTTATCTAGAGAAGCCGATCTCGCTGTGCCCAACATAAGCTTGTCACGAGTAACCATACCTTTGAAGACATCCATTTCGATGTTTCACTATCAGCAATAACCTTTCTTGGGAAAATCACGTGATATCAATTGCTAAAAGTGCATCTTAAAACTTGGTTTTCTGTTTCGGGCCAGGAGCTATTCCACTTCCAGTCAGCTGCTTTATGATCTATAATGCACAGAACCAACCTGTCCTGGAAAACTGTTCCCATATTTGGAGTGCAGCACTCAAACATACCCTGAAACTGTTGGATTTTGTGCAAAAAAGGGCAATTCGTCTCGTGGGTGATGCCTCGCTCACAAACTCACTCACTTCTCTGGAACACCGTAGAAAAATTGGCGATCTGGTTCTATTTTATAGATATTTTCATGGACGATGCTCTTCTGAAATATCAACAATTGTTCCTCCCTTGGCAGTCCTCGCGAAATAACCCGTCGAGTTGAGGCTTCGCACCCCTTCGTGGTCACTTTGGAGAGCTGCAGAACATCTCTTTCCAAAGACTGTTCCCAGAGGCATAAAACCTCCAGAAATATAGGAAGAACACCAATTCCTACCTTATTCTCCTTGGTTTTCACTATATGTACTCTGACCATTACAGGATATTCATTTTCGTGGGAACCAGCATAAAAAAAAATACACATATTTTTTCAAGCGTTTGGGACATATTTGTCATTTCGTTTTCACATCACAGTCGGAAATTGCAGTCGGCTCTCCTACTATCAACCTTTCCTAACTCGATTATATAAATATTATATAATTCTCCTTATTCTTCTCAACCACAAAACTGGATTTCTATATCGTTCGTTAGAGCAGAGGCTCTCCGATATTCAGTTAAATTGTTGTTAGGACACAATTTTCGGTCTGTTACGCTGCTACGAGCATATCCGAGTATAGTAATGAAATTTCAGATACCGCAAACTCTACTGTTCTTCGGCTTTGGTGCAATTACCACGAATTGAATGAAATTTGCATGACAGGGTTCATCTTTGGGTGCAATTTATAGTTATGAAGCTGCGTTAGTGTCTCTGTGTCGGACAAATGACATTTCGATTCCATTATTTTGATGAATGATGAAAGCCTATATCAAAAAGCAATGAGATTCCTACGATTCATTCGAATCAACCAATCGAC